TAGAATCCTACATGTTCCATAGTTAATTGTCCACGAGTTTTATATCAAAAGTAAAATGCTTTTAACACACGTTATCTGGGTTAAAGATGTGTCGTTCAGGATCGATGATTAAGTATTTGAGAGTAGACGCGATTATGACGAGTATAGCAGAGCTGCGTTTTCTAGGCCTTCGTTCTCTAGGTAACCGTTTTCTAAGTCTTCGTCTTCTAGACACTTGACAGAACGCACTTGTACAGGTACAACAGGCACGACACAGATAATGATGTAATGCAACATGAAATCCAATACACTTGGCATGATAACAAAAATTTTAAATTAACTTTACACTATCAATACCTCCGCATGTATTCCTCCAGACACTGACCGCAGAACTTGTGACCACATCTCGTAAGAACTGGTTCTTTCGACGGTAAATAACATATTATGCATTGCAGGTCTTCGTCAGGCGGATCAACAAATTGCTCGTCATAACCACAAGGTACAGGCCGGTTAACTGGAACTTCCGCCATTGCATTTGCGTGAGCCTTCCCAATGTCGTTTCCACGCTCTTTTCAGTTGTTTTTCTGGCAGATTATTAGTCTCGCTTCCGTAAGCAGCGAGACCCATAATCTGCAATGCGTTTTTGCATTTTTGTTCGTGTTTTATGCACCTGAATGGTTTGCCCCAGGCTGAGGTTGGGGGGGTGGGGAGCGGTCAACCCACGGGAATTAGACTTAGTGAAGTGCACGTGGGTAGGGAATTTGACATCCTGAACGTCCCCAGGGTGGGAAACTGACTCAGCCGGCATCTTGGAAAGTGTAGGACCTGGGAATGAGTGATAAGAGGTCCACCATCTTAGAAAATACCCAGTAGTCATTTGGATGAGTTTCCCACATTTTGATGGGTCTATTTCTTCAGTGAAGGATGGCAGAACGAAAGTTAGGAGTATCTTGTTGCTTTGAAGTTTGAACTTTTATGACAAAAAGTATTTTTCGCTCGGCATTGAGAAGCAATGCTTGAACAAAGTCTCATTTGAAAATATTCTTTCTGCTTACATGTTTTCACCAGATGCTGCCCTGCCACCATCCTCGGAGACCCAGGGGCAGTCAGTCGGGTCAGGAGAAAAGGCGGCACGAAAGTTTTCAAGTAGGGGCGAAAGAGCCCCTGGGTACCCACTCTCACCGAACTATTTCCAAACATTCAAGCTGATGCCGGCTCCTGATTGGGCACAAAAAATGATTTGTATTATTGTGCCCAATCGGCGAACAGTCTCTCCTGAGTTCTTTTCGTGAGTTCGTACATGACTACTATTGCCGCGATCACGGCTTGTCTGGATCATGCATCAAAGAGATGCACGCAGTCAGGAAACTTTCAGTTTGATGTAAAATCCCCATCTGATTTCGAAATACTGTCTGCCCGAAAACTAAAGACGCTCTTCCAAACATACAAGTTTGAGCTTACAAAAGGTATTCACGCCTGCATCGGTCACGTCTTGGGGCTATTAGGAAGTTTTAAAAGATACTGTACGACGGCTGACGTACAGCCACGAAAACGTCGCATGGAAAAGTGAATTCACATTTTTGCAGTCTCTATAGTGATTATTCCAACTCGCTTACTTTGTCAAATGCAAGAGAACTCTCCTGGAGCTGAATTTCCATCAACCATATCCAAGTTCATGAAGAGAATGAATTTCGTCATTGCTTGTTTACGTCCTTCACAAAACGTGAAATTAGGCATTTTCACGGGTAATCGTGCAGTGGGCGGCAAAGAAATGTACAAAAAAGTGTGATGCACGTGCAAAGTTGTTGTTTTGCCTTGTCAAGCTATTGCTTATTTGACGTTCTCGTCGCCGCCACATTCCAAACTTCCAATTATTTACGATACGTTGTGATCCGTCAAAAACAGAATATTCTCGGGGCAAATTGAATTGCTCCTGCTGATAGCATCCCAAACGTTTTTGCGACTCATCGGTAGTTCCTTCGTTTCTGGTTAGGAAAGTAGAATACAAAAGTTTCCCTTGCACGCACAAGCTTGGTGAACAAACCGGGCAACTGTGGCGAGACAACAGCCGTCGTGTACGAACTCACGAAAAGAACTCAAGAGAAACTGTTCGCCGATTGGGCACAATAATACAAAGCATTTTTTGGTGCCCAATCAGGGGCCGGCATCCGCTTAAATTTTAGGAAATGGTTCGGTTAGAGACGGGACCCAGGGGCTCTTTCGCCCGTACTTGAAAACTTTCGTCCCGCCTTTTCTCCCGACCCGACTGACTGCCCCTGGGTCTCCGAGGATGTATACATGTAGAAAGCTAGTTGCTGGGACTGTCAGGATTTCTACAAAATTCAAAAATCTGCCGTGTTCAATTTGTCAGTCATTTCCTTGTGAACGGTGCAGTGATTCAATCTTTCTTGCGACAAAGTTGTTCGAAGATTCGTCTTGTGCCTTCTAAGGGCAGAAGACGAGCGCTCTCTCACAGCTTTCGTGGCAGGTACAACAAGAAGTATTAAACTTCAAAAGGGTAAAAACGTCTGACAAATAATCAATTCCATCAGTTTCCGATCAATTTTCTTTAGCATAGCCTATGTACAGACCCCTCTCCCTTGGGGGGAAGGAGGGGTCTGTACACAGGCTACTTGAGCAGATCTCCACAAAGATCCTATGTAAAAATATATGTCTGGCCGCGTCACTTAGCATGAAACATTCCTTGCTCAGTTTGCGATTTGTACCACGATTCCCCAAGCTCACGAGTGAGATTCGTTGCATAACAGAAGTATTATAAGGGTTTGTATGGGGATTTAAGTGATTGTTATTTAGGGGTCAAAAATAGTAAGGCCTATCTATTATATAGCAAAAAATCTTATCATCGCGGCCTCTTGGATTGCTGTTTGATATTTCCTCATGGAATAGCCTGCGAGAGCATCCGGTTTTTTGAGGATGCCTATATACTTAGCCAGGACTCGACAATTTTTCGCTTTCCCGCCATTTTAACGTCATGCAAGTCCCATGACCATTAAGAGGAGGGTTTTCGTGGCAATCATGGAAGGAAAGCTCGAGTTAGGGTTAGGGTTAGTTAGGTTAGGGTTAGGGTTAGGGTGAGGTTACAGTTAGGGTTAGGGTTAAGCTAGGGTTAGGGTTAGGATTATTCAGGGTTTTCCCTCAATACTTTTCTTTTGGAGTCCCGAAGACTCCTTTAACCAAAGGGTGAGGGTCCCATAGGGCACAGTGGGAGTCCTAAGGTTAGCATTGTTTCAAATTCCAGGAAATCTCTGAAACCTTCTTCGGGTTTCTTGTAAAAACAGAAGCATCACTACAACCATTCGAAGCCTGAGGTTCCAATTATTGGAATAAAGTTATCAGCAGCAATCTTGTTCTTAGTCATAAGATACACTGTTTTATACTGATCAATGTGCCTCCTTGTACTTTCCAGGGTTTGATTGTCGATATTCGTCTTTGCTTTTGAGACTGTCTCTTGAAAGCTTTTTCTAAGCTTGAGGGCACTGCTACTCAAAATGTGATAGTTAGAATCTTGATGCCTTTCCAGAGTCGACTAGTTGTGAAAGGGTTTCTCTTACCTGTTGACTTACAGATATCGCAAAGATGTAACTTCTTTCTACCAAGCAGGCAGAAAACGCCTCTTTGTTAACGGGCTCACCGGGCTGTGTTTCCGAATCTGCCATGTTTTCTCAACTCACTTTCTGTCCCAGTCCCAGAAAGTCCCAGAATACCTCACAAGGAATCATTAGTTCCCAAGCCTCTGAACGAAGTTTCAATGTAGTTCCCCGATCGGAACATCCAAAAAGCAAGCTTGAGGACCATACAAAGTGAGTATGGTTCTTTTTAGATTTAAAAAAGGAGTCAGACAAAAGAAGGAGATACAAAAGTTTGTACATTTTATTCTCAAGAAATGTAATTTTGCAGATCTACGCAGTTTTAAACTAATCATTAATAAACTATCGCTCTAGAACATGTGCGTCCGAGAGGACCGGTTCTCTTTGGTGTTTTGCGTACTTTTTTTCTTTTTCGGCTAAACAACGCGTCTCTGAAGCGTATTTGCGCGTAAGGGAAAACCCTGGTTAGGATTATCTTAGGGTAAGGTTAGGGTTGGGGTTAGGAGGTTACGAGTTAGGTTAGGAGTCCTTTTTTTTCTTTTCTTTTACTTTTGTTTATTATTTATTTTTATTTATTCATTTTTTGCTTACAGAAAGATTAGAAAAGTCCTAACTGGAGTCCTGGCTCGAATCCTGGCTTTGATGTTAGTTTTTCTCTGGTGTTTTCCACTTTAGTTTTTAGTTTCACCCGCCGAGAAAAACCAGATGGAGTAAAGCGACTACCGGAAATACGTCTGCATTTCGCCGCCTACTCATGGAAAAATTTCAGAAATTTCATAGATAAAAAACAGACGACAGTGAGGGAGCTTTAGATACGTTGCTTCTCTCTAGGGGTACGAGTGGACGAACATGTTTGCTACGTAGAGTCGAACCTCTCAGTACGGACACCTCTTAACATGTAAAACGGACACCTCTCTATTACGGACAGTTTCCAATGTCGCGACAAAATTCTCATATATTTTCTTTAAAAAAACCTCTTTAATACGGACTCTCTCTAATACTGACAACGGACACTAAATCTCGGTCCCAGACAGTAAATTCGTATAAACTTAACCTCTTTATCATGACTACGGACACTGCAGTGATCAGATGAATGACGATCCCAATAAGGTGAATCTGCACAGGGTGAATCCCGTCTGACTGATGAGCTATGCAAGGTAATTTCAAAAGCTCAGTTGCTGTATATCAAATATAAACGAGATGCGAAAGGAGTACAGAGAAACATAACCGCTTGAATAACTACAGATAGCATTAAGATCTTCTCTTTTACATTTTGTACTCTATTTACTGTTTACTGCACTTGTAAAATAGCTAAAGACGCTTTCAGAATTGTCCTTTACTTTAAAACGTTTTACATGCTGCATTGTGCTGTAGCTCGTTTCGTTTTAAAACAGCGATTTGTCTACGACTGCACTTACTTTGTAGCTGAGATGTATAATGTTGTATGCTACTGAAAGACAGTGTCATTGTACTGTGAATTAAAATGCAGTTTAAAGACGAGTGTGAGCCTGGTGACGTCATAGTAGTAACCTCTTTTATACGGACACCTCTCTAATACGGACACTTCGCTATGTCCCTTCGGTGTCCGTTTTAGGGAGGTTCGACTGTAGTTTTTTAAAAGGCGACCATGCATGATTCTCCATAGTTGGTAATGGCATCGTCGTTTTAATCACTAGCTTATCCGTTCCTCTTGGGTAAGAGGTAATCTAAGCCAATCTACCCTTATTTACGTCTACGGGTAGTACAGGCAATTTGCCCGTACAGGGAAACGGTGTGTCTTATATAAAATAACTAACTAAAGATAGTACGCGCGTTCTGATTGGTTAAAAACCTATGTTTTATTGTGCCTGTAAACTCATAGGAAACTTAAAGTTATTTTATAAAAGCAATAGAACACACTTTCCCTGGGTTTACCGGCGTGGTAACAAACTTGGGATGTTGGGAGAACACTCGAAAAGCTTGTCTTTTCTCGTGTTCTCCCAACATCCAGCGTGGATTATTACGCCGGTATACCTCTAGAAAGTGTGGTCTATTGCTTAAGTATCTGATGAAAAAGTACTTACATTTACAAGGGTTAGAGCAGGGTAGAAAGTTGTTTATGTAATCAGAATTCTAAGCTCGGAGCAAACAGTCCTAAAAAAAAAGCTTTCAGCGCCACAGCGTTGCGAAAACAACTGAACAACAACAAAAGCTTTATTTGCATGACCATAAAGGTATTACAGTATTGCAAAAGATACCAGTGAAATTTAATTAGTAATTCAACTAGTTCATGTAAAACACTACAAAACATTACAGTTCGTCATCCATTCATTGATATTAATTTGTTTCTTAATTCAAAGCATTGCGAGATAAATAAAACTAATCGACAGTTAATTAAATAATCAGAAGAATGCATAAGATCGAGAGAGGATAAAGTATATATCGTGTGAAAGTGATTTCAAATCTGGAATTTTAGTTCCTATTTTAGAGAAAAACACGTCTCTAATCTGATAATAGGCCTTACAATCTAATAGGAAATCTTTTTCATCTTTAATTTCGTTACTGTTACAATGTGAGGGTTGTTTTCGTATCTACCTGTCTCAATTCTAAGTTGATGACTACTTAGTCTAATTCTAACTAATGCTTTTCCTGAAGGGTTTTTTTCTTGAGGAGTTATTATTTGAAGGATGATTTAGAGTACGCTTATAAAGTGTAAATAACGATTTCCAGAGAAAATAAAATTTGCATGCGCTTCATGTGTGCCCATCTGTACTGCAGTGTATGAAAAAAGATAAGAAAGTGTTGGACTGTGCTTTTTAAAACACTTTTAATTCGCAGAAACATCGATTTATTAAGACCGAGAACACAGGGAGACCAATCAAGAGAGGATAAAAAAAGCCCCTTTATCCTCTTTGCACGAATACGTTCATTTATATTGTGTTTGCTACTCACTCCGTCTTATAGACTTCTAAAGTCATGCAAGGTATTAAAAAGAGTCTATTTTCTATCACATCAAAAGTGGTGCTAACCATGCTCAAATTAATCAAAATCCGAATAAATTAGGACATGTACAATGCAAAAATAATCTCAATTTAGAAATCTATGTCATACAAGATAATACTTTAGTTTTGTTTAGTCTCCAGATCAATTGACTCATCTACAAACTTAATAAAGTCAAATGAAATATGAACACAGTTACAATTTTCGCCTTCTCATTGTATGATTATTAGCTTTAACAATCTTGAAAATGTACAGTGCATTGTTTTATCTTTGTTCTAACTGAAATACGCTCAAACAAACACTACATCTAACCCTGACTCTGGATTCTTGACTCCAAAACGGACTTTGCGGTTTTTGCTTTCCAAGAACGAGTTTTCAATTGAAAGAATTCACACGCCGAATACACTGTATCCTATCTCAGGGGCGGAGCTAGGTAGGCTGCTGGGGGTGCGCATCCCCTCCCCCTGAGATGACCTACTGCTTTCTAATACAGTTATACAAAAGCTGCTGTATCGTTTGATGTGTATTCTCAGCAGTTCACATTATATTATTGCCTAGTCAAAAGCTTTCTTCTCCGTATTCGGTTTTAAATTTTGCTTACGTCACCAGTCAGTTACGTGGCCATTCCTTAGTGGTGCACCTCCTCCAAAGAAAAATACTGGATCCGAACCTGAATCTAAATCTGTTTTGGGGGGCATAGATCCGTCCCTTCTTTGTGCGCAAAATCCAACAAAGTCTAACTGACAAGTTCTGTGAAAATAGGAGACCACCCTTCTTCTTGCCGGTTCGTGCAAATAGTGCTGCTACACTAAAGAATCTCTTACGAATTTTTTTTCGGGTGGAGGGGGGTTCTCGTAACGAATCCAAAGAATCTGATATCATAAATCAACTCTCGGATTCTCCCAAAGAAGCAAAGCCTTGGTCATTTCTCTAAAGCACACCTTTTTGTGGCAGATAGAATAACAGCTATTGTGGTGGGGTTAGTTGAACCTGAATTAAGATAGAATCGTTCAGAATATAGCGCCTTTCTTTTAGTTTTTTGTGCAATACAAATGTTGTTAAGCCACGCCCTTTGTAGCAATCTGTCATAGGCCTCGCAAAGCACGTCACGTCATGACAAAGAAGAATATCGACAGGTGTGTATTTTCTCCCATGCCGTAACCGTTTGGATCCAACACTAACCTACATTTGTAAGCATATCTGTAAAATGGATCACTTAGAATTGATGTTTTTTCCCCATGTTTAGCTTTCTTCAAGGCTTTACCCAAGCCACTGACTTTCCAATTGAAATAATTTTGTTCATCTGAAGAAAGCACCAATTTCTCGATACCATCAATCTTAATCTCAAGTTTTCTTGTTAGATTATTTATCTTTCCCTCAAGTTTCCTTGTGATCTCTTTGAACTCTTGCTGAGATCTAACCAACGTATCTTCAAGTTGTCCCTTGGTCTTCGCCAACTCCCTCTGCGTATTACCCAACTCCACACAAGCTATGTCAAGATGCATTTTCACTGTAGATTGCAGGTGAGATTCGACTTCTCCTCTTTTAATCTGAACAAATAAATCGGAAGTGGGTTAAACTGAAACAAGGTCGAAATAAAAATTCAGTAAACAGTTATGTAGGGCGCATTCAATTTTACAGAATAACAAAAAAAAAGGAATAAAAATCACTTGTTTTGGCTTTTATTACATGAAAAAATACAGGACATTAATAATAAAGATGAATGTCGTGGCATTCGAATGGTCCAAAGATTTGCGGTTGAAGAGATTTGTCAGAAATGTCTGCTGATTTTTATTCTAGAGTACGATCAATCGAACAGATCCTTTGTTAAGATGTTTCGATACAGTTTTTCGGAGACCTCACCAAAGTTTTTTGTTTATTGTTGTCATAGTGATATCGATTTTACTAAAAACTGCATTTTGACAAATTTCAATTCATAGTCAATCAATGGTAAAAATTTTGTGGCGATCGTGCAAGGATAAAATCACTTTTAAGGCGACCGAAAAACATCGGTATTGTCTCCGAGAAACTGAATGGAAACACCTTAAAACGGGTTAAAACTGGAGTTTTTGAAAAATGTTCAGCCAAGCATGCGCAGTTTTTCAAAGTTTAAATTTGCTGTTTGTAACTTTAAGTCCAACACTCAAGGGACATATTTTTTTGTGACGAGGCTGTAATCTCTCTATTTGTACTTTTCACGCGTTACCTAGGTTACTGACAACTTAAGTACATCGTGAAAAGTATTACCTTTGTAGTGCAGCCTATCTGAGCATACGGGCAGGGAATTAATGTCAGAGGACATTGTTCCTTAATGTGGAATAAAATCTGTAAAAAACGAGAAATGCGATATAATTAGGTGAAAAGTCCAGCTTAGTGAGCAAGCACATAATTTTGGAGAAAATGATATAATTTCTTTATATTATATTATCAGTTAGGTAAATAAATATCCATCGCAAATCAATAACTGGCAACAGACTAAATTGGCAACAGACTAAATTGGAGTTGTGTTATACGGGCCACATGTCGGACGAGATCTTTGTGGCTACAACCTTACCTTCCCTCTCGGTATGACAGCTCCACAGCTCTCAGGGCAATCTAATGGAAATCTTCTGCATTTACTCTGATGAATCTTTTAAACAATGCATCAGGTTAAAAGACAAAGCGTTTAAAAACTGTAAATGTGATGTTAGCATGTCACTTTAATAATCAAAATTTTATTACACTACATTTACACCTAAATGAATGTCTTTCTCTTGATAGTCAGTCGAAATTATTAACGAGTTTAACTCTTTCAGAGCTCAGTATTATTGGTCTTGGGGAAAAACGTGTCCAGTGAAAGTTTCAGGACGTCCTGACTCTTTTAACACGGCTATTAGGGGAGCCTGACTGGGGTGGACAAGGATTGAAATCAATAAGACAAGGATTGAAATCAATAAATTTGCGTTAATGCTCTGATACCTTAGCGTATGATAGACAGGTAAATGAAATGATTTGGGGTTTGGTTTGGTCTGGTTTGGTCTGGTTTGGTTTGGGAATGGGTAGTTTTATTAGGTGTCTACGGTTCTGCTATATTCATAGCAAAGCAGTGACACATCAGCTAGGTTGCAGGGACCGCTCTTATACAAAATCTGTCTGAAAAACAGAACAAGAAAGTTAAACTACACGATTATGGCATAAAAAGCGTGTATTTGAATTGATTCACTTAAAACACTGAAATACCAATATAATAGACTACATATATCATGATTACGCTTTCGATTCTCTGGTTGTCACGGATATTAAAACAAATGTGCACTTATCTTACATTGGTTTTACAGGCTGGATGGGTCGAAAATAGGCAGTATTGGCAGCTAACAATCCTCCATGGACACGACATGGTCACGTGTTCTTGTAAGGTATTCCTTGTTAGTTTCACGTCACAGTTTTTGTTGGTACAAGAAACAGACTTGAAAAGGCACGATGCTAAGTGATCCTTTAGAGAACAAGAAATAAGAAAAAATATTTAGTAATTCAAAAGAAAAAATCTTCAAAATTAACCTTTAGCGCTTGTCAAAAGTTTTGTTTTGCCTGGTTTAATGAGCTCCACAAAACGTGTTTTTGAAAAAAATTAGAATTGACGGAAAGAATTTTGAAATTATTTGTCAAACTAAGCCAAAAAGTGATCCTAAAAAGGAGAAGTATTCTATCATTTCGTTTCAGCTATATCTGTTTGTCTGTTTCGGTTTAAGAATATATCATTATCGTTGTTTCTGTTACCGACTGTCTATCGCTTTAATTGTTAATACCCGGAAGCCGGGAAACTATTTTTTTTTCCAGCCAACTAATGTTAAACTGATTCACAGATGAATATATTTCTTCTGGCAATAATCGAGTCTTCTGTAACTGAATCTGTTGTGTAATGTTTCACCCAATGAATATTAAAGGATTGTGTTTGGAATTAGGGGTTAATAACAGCCCACGAATGCACAATCGGTTACTACTTACATCTTTTGATCTCAGTTCTCCAGTCCACTGACATCCTTCACTAGGACATGTTATTAAAAGGGAGAGAATTTTTCTTTCTGTGGCTTTATCAGCAAAAGTGTCCTGCAACATTAGAAAAGAGTAGCAAAGCCTATAAGTTAATTTCTTTATTAATATTACTTGTGCTTAACATTGGAAGGGTTATTTTTCAGGCATTGTAGTATGCCTTCCAAAATTTTGGAAGTTTTATACATTAAAAGACCTCTTTATAAATACACCGCAGTTCAGGCACGTGACAAGTCTAGAGGCACCGATCACATTAACTGGCAATACATTTAGCGTAAACCTCGCGGCTCAAGTAAAGGGCCAGCAGAAGGAATAAAGAGGGAAAAAGCCAAGAGAAAAAAAAAACACCACGTTAAAAAAGCAACAACAACAAACAGAAGAACCAGTACTCTTTGCAAGCGCACCGACCATAACACTCTCTAATAACGGTAGCCCTGAACAGCCGTTAGCCCCGGTTTGAACAAAAGGCCGCTGGGTCGCATAATGTGAACATTGCATTCAGCTGTTTTTTTTTTTTTTTACCAATGAAGCGCCCTTGGTTAACCGCTTTGAAGCTTCTTCTGTATGTGGTTATAGGGCTTAACTAGCTTTTTTCTTGAAATTTTTACAGTCTTTGAATATGAGGGAAAGGATTGTCCTCAACCTCTTTGTATGTGTTAAAATTATGTTGAAGTTGCATTTGCCCAAGACTCTGCTCATCCCTTCACTACGTAAACTTGTTGAACATTACTGTAAACGTAACAAACTTATTACAAGTTCCACGCGTGACCTACCTCGTCTCGTGTTAGGTTGTTTCGATCTTTAGGACAAATTAACGGTTTTCCGTTTCGCTCTAGACTGTTGAGATGGAAAGAAAAGACGTCAGCGATTTTGAAAAACAAATATGTATAGAGAATTATTTCCGCAAAAAATTTATGAAGACTTGAACTCAAAATTCCAGAAAAAAGTCAGCAGAGGATCTAGGTTTTGATAGATTTTAAGGAAGCTATTAGCTTCGATATGTTGTTGTTACACCATTTATACGTTTTTTGTTAGCGTTAAACCCCGTTAAAATGTTTAGAATTAATGAGAAAAAGCTTCTGTACGATGAGCATTATCCGGGTATTTCAGAGACTTTTATGAGCAAGACTGAGCATTTTAGTGGGGAGAAAGGAGCATTTAGGAGGAGCATTTTGTGTGGAAACAAAAGCATAATATAAAACGTAACGTCATTTAAACATGTGTATGTATATCAGAATTATCTACTTGTCCGTTGATGGTTGGTGTGAGTCCCAACAATTTTTTTTACCTGGCTGCTACCACATTTATAATTGGGCTTTCAACAAATTTATAAAGTTCAGAGTGCTAGGGTAGGGTAGAGACAGAAGATATCCCCTCTCTATAACTTTTCAGATAATATAAAATCCTTCGTGTTTTCTGGGAGAAGTTTGGCATCATTAAATACGTTGAATGTCTTTGGTGTTACTGCGGGCAGTTGTATACAGATGTTACTCTGGTGCAAAGTAGGAAGAAGCTCATTATTTGGAGAACCGAACGCTAAGATAGTTAAGTTGCATCATTGTCCATGTGTTTTGCTTAATGGTGAATAAAATCCCCCTAAAATTTAAACCATGAAAATAAATGCCTCAAACGTTTTACCGCGGTGGAGGTCTGAGTAGCGTTTTGCTAAACTCATTCCGGATGTGTTGCTGAACAAGCTTCGCGCGGAGGATCAGAGACTTCTGTTTTTTTGTTGGCTCGAAAAATGTTTGTTGTTTTGAACAGTGACTCTAATCTTAAAAAAAATTGATATGATAGATACATGCATACCTACATATCCTTTATTTAAACACGATATGATTTAAAGCTCAAAGCTTCTGGGGTGGTGTAAAAATAATTACAAATGAATAAAACCATATTAAAAATAGAACAACATTACTTACAAAATACAACTACAATAAAACTCTAAAAATATACAGTAAGATTCTAAAAGAAAAAAAAATACAATGTTAAAATGAATTTACATTAGTTACGTCTAAGTAAATTGACTACAGCATTTAAAAAATAAAACAGTTTAAAACATTTAAAATCTTGGTAGTGCCTGGGCAGCGACTGGAACGACTGTGCGCTAAAATCAAGTTCCTTAAAATAAGAGTCCTTCTTCACTTTGCGATAAAAAACAATAAACTGGTCTGTAAAATGAGTCGAGACAACGTTCCAAAGAATAGCGCCTCCATAAATAGAGTTTTTAAGAAACTGCGAGTTAAAACGCGGGACGATTATGACGTTATTACTCCTTCTAAAGCTGTATGCAGTAAAATGCAGTAAGATATGTCGAAATCTGAGATTAAAGTACTTCTCATTTTAAGACATCCACGTATACGTGATATTTTTAAAAGCTATGTATGTAATACATAGAAAGAACAGACATGCGTTTCTGGAAAGAAGAAGGAAATGGCTTAAGTAGAGGTTGGCCACGTCAGTATAGTAGACTGGGCATCACTCTCTTCTAAGGAGAACGGGAGGGAAGGCGTGATACACAGGTTAGCTAGGATATTTTAGTCGCGTAGTGAGACCGTGCTTCCTTATGAGACGGAAGGAAATAAATTATAACTTGAGATCTATCCTGGGTGCCAGGGACTTTCATGCGCGGTTTCCGGCCGCTCGCGACTTCGGACTTCGGCCAAAGATTGGTCGGCCTTCGGCCGACACCAAAGCATCCAGCCGCACTTGAGAAGAAAACCTCCTGTACCAAGGATACTTGAGATCAGGATCAGTGATAGTTTCCCAATCATGTGGCTGCGTTTCGCCCCACCGAGTTATATCAACAACTCAAAATAGAGCCTGACCAAGAGAGGACAATTAAATCTAAGGCTGTGTTCGTTCGTTTCTGGATGGCCCCCTGCTAACCGGTCTTTCTCCCTCCCTTATACAGCTGCAACAATCATCCATGACAATAATCATTCTGATATTGTGAAAATGAGATTTCATCAAAAGTTGAAAATGGAACCTTCCTGTTCAGTTGATTAACATATCCGGCTGAGTCTATAGAAATTGATGATAGATACAAACGGTATTTCCTTCTTTTGTATGTCTTATAGATATTAGTGTTGCGTGAGGTCTATGTTGACGCATTCCCATGTCGCTAAAGAACAACTTAAAATCTTTTCCCTTTTACTCTAAACATTAGAATAAACAATACTTTACTGAATACAAGTCTTATGGGAAAAAACGAGCGAAAAATAGTAAGAAATATTTTCATACATAGCATAATCATGTAACACAAAATCACTAGAGTATACGTGCTTCTTCTTCCTGTTATTATCCTGATTCCTTTCTTTTCGGTGACATTTATCTCGATTTGTCATTTCCAAGAAATCATCAGACAGAGACTATCTTTCTCAGACTCAATAGAGGTAGTCAAGTTCATGCTAATGTTAATTTAGTCCCGCCAAAGACGTTATTATGTAGAAGGATTGGGGTTTGGCTTAGGGTTAGGGCATATAAGAAAATTGCTTCCTGACTTGCCTTTTACTTGATATGAAAAAGTGTCATGCATTTTGTTTGTTTTTATCTGACTTTCCTGAGTCCTTTTTAGTCAAGACTTATTTCCGCAAGTGCAGCCCCCGTAAACGAGAAGGCGAAAAGGCCGCCATAACTATGTACTCCGAAACGACGCGCTTTACCAATCCCATAAAATACTTGCGCAAGGTTCAAATCGCTTGATAAATGCTCACAGGCACAGAACAACATAACACAAGTCTCTTGCATAACATTTGAATAAAGTAATGACTCGTACAGAGCAAGATCGAGGGTTATTGTCCAGTTACCATCTCTTGTATGGAGCTAATATCTAACTTGAAGTAAGGGATATGTTCTGAAAAGCCAAGGGGTGATACTAACCTTGTGAAATGACTGTCAAGACAGTCTCTGCAAAATCTGTGACCACATTTCGTCAAAATAGGGTCTTTCAGTGGTAGCCTACAAATTGCACATTGCAATTCGTCTTCAACTTCACTAACAAAGTCATCATCATATCCGCCAAGCGATGGATTTGCTTCAGCTTCCGCCATTTTGTCTCAGTACGGTTACCTTAACGTTATAGCCAAGTGAAAAAAATGGGACCTTATGATTAATCAGATCATGTTGGCTGTCAGCCAAATGATAATAGTGCCTGATATGACTTCGTTGTTACTGTTCCAAGAAAGCGAGCCGTGATGCTCGATCTTTTACTTCAACGGAACGTCAGTTGACGACGGCGCGCGCCAATCAAACAGGTGGCTTGACCAATGGCAGAGCGGCAAATTGGGCATCGGAAGTGGCGCTCAGTCCTTTCCGCGCGCTTTCCTGTCGTCAACTGACGTTCCTGTTCTGTTGCTAAATCAGCCGATTAATAATTAGACTAGAGCAAACGAGGTCTCAAATCCCAGGATAGAAAAATTATCAGCACACACAAGCTTTCGACTCCATCGTGGGATCGTTATCTAGTGATGGAGTTGTTGGACTTTTTAATTTGTCACATGATTTATACGTGATTTGTAGATCGCGGGTGCTCGTAACTGGCGTTCCTGTTCAAACATTTAGCCCGACAAAATATTTCGATGGCCTCCCTGACTCTTTTCTTAAACATGTCGTCTTCTCTCGCAAGGATCAAGGAGGAGGTGATATCCAAGGTTTGTGTAGTGTATTGATTACAATAGTAACAATTACGAACTATATACTAAGATCAAAAACAAAAGATGTCTAAAGTACTGTAGAACGATTGTGAAATTACTGGTACTGAGTAACAGTAGAGCATGATTGTACTAGGATAAAGATAGTTGTTCAGATAATCAAAGATTTTGTTTAGATACTGGACATTTTATGGTCGTACTGCTCAGCCACTTTCCTGGAAAAAAAATTGCTTTTGGTAGGTAGTATTTTCATTCTACACGACATTCTACGTATACCCCGTGTATCTAATATTTCGTAATGAGTTACTTTTTCCTTTAACATGTGGAAATCTCATTTTAGAGGGCCTGCGAAACTACAGACTGATGTGAAATATAATCCGAAAGGCCGTTCCTAAGACGAACCAAATAATATAAGTTAATTTTCGTTTTCTTTGTTTCGCTCTTGCTGTAGATTTTCTCAAAGTCAGTTTCCGGTTTTTGTACTTTTCCCACAGAAACACAATAACAGCCTACAATTACGAAACATGCACTTTTATCTGACTAAAGTTCCTCTAAACAGCTGAGACCACGAACTTACCGTCTCCGCCCATAAGACTTATAACGAGTTCATCCCCTGGAAGTGTGAAACTGACAATCATCAAGCGGACGAAAGATTCGGCTGAGCCAGCTAAGAGGAAGACAGTTTGACTTCACATTGCACTTTAACTCATTTCAAGCTGAGATCAAGGTGTCAAAGGCCTCCCTTTTCTTATAAACCCCGTTTTGGACACACTGAGCCACCAGCCAACACACGCCTGGTCGACAAGCTCATTCACTCAAAAGAGATCAAATTTCAGTAGACAAATTTCCCTTCTTTGCATCCTTCCCGTGATTTCTTTCTTTTCTTTTTAGTGCAAGCATGTGAATGGCCCAAGACTCCTCAGTTCTTCAGTTTTCATCAGTTCTCATGGCTGGCGCCCAGTCACGTTATATGGGATAGCAAGCTAAGCTGGATGGTATAAGTTAGGATGTACAGTGCTAAACCTAATTTGTAGTTTTTCTAAATTTTGGTACTTCGTCCTGAAAAACCTTTTATTCACAAAACCCACGAAACAGGGCTGCATGATAACGTAAAACCATCCTCTCCTGGTAAAACTTGATGCTCGTAAGTCAGTTCATATCGGGAAATTAGAGAAAAGGTAGCTTCTGCTAGCAGGCCAAAATTAGGCAAGTAGAGTAACTCCTTTTAAGGCCCCTTTACACAGAAATTTTTTCAACGAGCGTCAACACTCCTTTGTAAATGGTCCTTAACATCATAGTTTTCAATTAAACCCTTGAACGATGTCTTCATTAAATTAGTACTATAAAACATTGATTCCCGACCTCATAAGATCACAGCGCAAGAACACAAAATGTCTAAGTACAGTCAAAAATAAGGATTATACTAACACTACAGGGGCAGAGCCATGATGGGCGTTCACTACACGTGGATCCTTGAGGGGATCCCATGAAGTTTGGTACCTTTTGGATCAAGAGAACTAGCTGTCCAGGTGTTCGTAATCACATCGATTTGTAGTTAAAACTACAGTTGACTCCAGGTTAATAGAAAAACGGGAAACTGATAACTCTCATTAGATTGCAAGCAGTCTCTTATTTGTCTTTTCAGTCACAGTAGATCCAGAGTAAGCGCGAGGGACGAGCGGCCAAGCCACGAGGAACTAGGGCCAATCTCTCTTCCTTTTTCTATTTTTCAATTTTTTTTTCACAATTTTTTTTTCGCTCGCTGCTCGTGGCTCTCAGGAAAGAAGGACGACCTCTCAGGTCAAATCAAATCTCGCGTAAATCGAACCAAGAATTAATTTCCATTCGATTTATTGTAACTAATTACCCTCGATAACTCGAACTCGTGTAAGAATATTATAGTGCATATGAGTGTCTTATTCATATGCTGAATCTCTTTCTTGGTACTGCGCATTACGAAGTATCGCTCAGTGTAAAACTCTTTTTTTCCGGACAAACCTCAAAGGTTTGAGTTATCCGCAAGTCAACAACAACAACTACAACAACAACTTTATTACCTGAGCTGAACTTTCACTAATTGACACCAAAAATTAAAGCAAGACTTCGCTAAGCTTAAAACAATTGACGGTTACCTAGAAAGACTTAAAAGCAGTATTGTACCGTACGGAGAACGAAAAAAAAAAACAATATCACACGAGCAATAAACCTCTTTAGCTTGACTGTATCGAACTGCATGTTTTGTTTTCCCAATAGAGGTCCCAGGAGAACTTGACCCATTGTCTTTTCATTAAAGTTACGCGTATATTTGCATGATTATGCACGTGAATAAGATAAAATTTGAAAGAAACGGTTCCCTAGAGTATTATCACTTGACCTGTATTGGGAAAACAAAACATACAAGCTAAAGAGTACAAAAAAAATACAAGTATGAACGGTACTAGATAATAACTACACTGAAATGATCTAACTTTGATTGATGCCACGTCTACAAAGTATTGCCCATAATTTCGGTTTGAAATCCTTTGCTTTAATGCAGAGTACTTTAATGCTGTCGTCTAAATCATTGAAAACGTTAGAGGCTGCTAAACGTACGTTCATTAAACTTCCAAAAGTACCGGTGACACTGTGTAAATTCAAGACTTTGCGAGAAGACGACAGGGGGCCACCTTTTCCCCAGCCGACCCTCTTTTAGCCTGCGCATACAGCCGTCTCTCAGGTCTCTCCCCTTTCCGCAAGTTCACAGGGGATCGAGAGACACGTCTCTCGCAAGGCTCTTCCGCGAGACACCCCTGGCGGCGAGAAGTGAGGAGAGATGACTGTATTCGCACTACATGCAGGCTACGTCTTTTTCACTTTTCCAGTCGGGAGACCGAGATTTAAAAGTTAACTTGAAATACGTGTCTCGCAAACCCTCGAAACTCGGGGTGAGCCCCAGACTTTCAGTATTTGAGCACTAAACTCTGACAGGCAGAGTTCCTATCCAACCGTCCAATACGCTAATCGGTTTGAAACCCGGGACCCGCGATGATCGTAATTCGGGAGAATTGAAGCTAGGCTTCTTTCTTTTCAGATTCAATGATGTGGAGACTCGGCCTAAGTTATGCAAACAAACAGGGATTAAAAATTAAAACAAAAATTAAATCGATACCCCAACTTGAGACTTGGAACCTGCGACTCACTGCGAGAGCTTCAAATAAGACTAAAATTCGTTCCGACTTTCATTGGTGGAAAGATCATTAGCCACCTCCGATGGTACTGTCAAACCCCGCTTTACGGACACCCGCTTAATACGTAGACTACACTTTCTAGGGTCCCCCGAAGTGTCCCTATGAACTGAGTTTGACTATAGACCACTGTAATCATGAATTTTGCATGTTGATGTAGATCACGAAACACGCAGGCTATGTATTATATTATTTTAAGTTTCAGACCATCCGATTAAATCTGATTTTTAAAAAGAGCTCAGACCACAGTGAAGACGGCAAGAAGATTACTGTCGAGCTCTTATGCATAATAATGTAACAGTGAATCAGAGAGCGAACCGAGTATAAGTTTATAAAATTTTGCTTCTCAGGAATTTCAAAGGACAGTTACATTTAGTATCCTACTGAAGTAAAGTGAACATGAACAAAAATAGTGTCGTCTACAATGTAGCGCCTTTTCTGCAGTTCTTCGTGGGATACAGACTCAGCAAAGCCCCACCCAATGTTCTGTTCTTTTACAGACCTCGCAAAGCTTCTTTTCTTGGGGTTTGAAGTACAGGACTTAACAATGTTCTCCCTGTCGTGTTCATTTTCTTGTTGATCAATTAACGTAAATGTGAACTTTTTATCAAAAGGCCAGGTTAAAGTGGTATCGTATTCGCCTTTCATTATCACCAGATATACTGTCAGGTGAGTATTTTCTCCAGAGTCACAGCCATTCGGATGTATACGTAGCTTGCATTTATATCCATATCTGTAAAATGGAGAGCTTTCTATGAAGGTTTGCTCTCCACTTTTTGCTTTTCTTAAGACCTCACTAAAACCATCTATCCTCCACGTAAATGATTCACACCTTTCCTTAGAGTGCATGTCTTTTTCTAGAGCATTGACCCTTTCCACTAGCTTTTTTGTGGTCTCTTCGAACTTCTTTTGTGTGTCGCCTAATTTCACACAAGCTAAGTCAAGATGAAGTCTCATGGCTGCTTGAAGATGCGATTCAACCTCTCTTCGCTGAATCTGAAGTATAAACATAACAAGTTTTTATGATGAGCATGTACTTGTCATTTATACGCTGTTTTCTAGATTTAACGGTATAAATCGGGAAACACCCGAAAACTTAAACTACCTTTTATATGTGAGGCCAGTGAACGGATTTCCTTAATGCACGATTTCCTCTTTCATTGTCATTTTACAGAAAACCACTAAAAGAGTTGGATTTTGATAACTAATTAAAAAAAAATTTAAAAATGTAAACGCTTACATGTTTCTCTTAGAATTTACCTCAGCTTCGCAGCCCACATGATCAAAGTACGGACAGGCAATTATTGTCAGCGGACAGTCCTTTTCAATGTGGGCTGAAATCTACAAAAAAGAGATATTGTCTACTCAGCTGGGAATCAGTACAGCCGCTGAAGATTTTGATGATGTGAAGACCTTCAACTTACGCACCAAAAAACTTATTGACCGTCTTTACAAACCTGGCTATAACCGCTATTTCCTTCAACGGGAAATACAGCGAGTTAACAATATCACACGGACAGAAGCACTTACGCCCCATGACACTTACACACTGGGCAAAACAGAACGTGTTCCCTTCGTTATCACCTACAACCCCTCCCTTCGTTCTATCTCATCCATTATTCACAAACGCTTTCACATCCTTATTTCATCCCCCCGTAGCTATAACGTCTTTAAAGCTGCACCCATTGTAGATTATAGTCATAGTAGTAACCTCAGCGATTTTCTAGTTAGGGCCAAACTTCGCAATCTCACACAACACAACCAGCCCCGGGGCTCATACCCATGCGGAAAAACTGTCTCACTTGAAAATACATATCTGACGGACAAACCTCATACAAATTCCACTCTAAAGGCGAAACCAAACCTATCACTGTTCTTGACTGTAACGTTTTCAATTCAGAAGCGACATGTTAAACGCGATTTAAGAACGTAAACGCTGCAACAGGAATAATTCCGTGACGGAAAACAAGTTCCATTCCAAGAATTAATTGGGGATCATTTCGGGGTCCACGTGAAGAGAAATGGGGATCATTTCGGGGTCGGGATCATTTCGGGGGCTGTACATACCTCATCGAGAGAGGTAATCAGTACTCTTGAACCATTAGGTATGAATAAGAAAGATGAAGTGTAATACATTCTATATTTCTTCTATTTGTTATCATTTATTTTAACTTGTTTTGCATTTCAAATTTCTTTCAAATCACTACTTCAACGGTTTTCGTTTTCACGTACTGTTAACGTTCACTTTTTAAATTTTCATGTGTTATTATAGTATCATATTGCACGCTATTCTTTATTTCAAATTGTAACGTCTTAGTCTAGCCTCTTCATTATATGAAGACCCTGAAGAAGGAAGGCCGTGTCTTCCAAAATATTGGTAAAATATATTATATATATATATATATATATATATATATATATATATATATATATATATTCCCGACTGTAAAATCAGCCTTGCTTCTTTTGTTTTATAATTTCACTTATTGCTGATTAGATCCTTTATTAGGATCAGGTCCTTCTTTTTGTAAGCTGGTCCTTGCTTCAAAAATTGAATTTGCAGCCGTTGAAGACTGTTTACTCGAAAATTAGCTGTTTAAACAGAATGGTATCCGCGTCAGCCGTATAGTGCAGACATGGTTTGGAGAAGAAGGGAATGCACGTGATTCATTGCTTTCAACCTTGATCTTCCCCCTGTCATCACACATGTCGGCTGTGTTATGTTTAGCACAAGCCGAAGATAAATCTGAGCCCCAAGATGAATGAAGAGAAAAGAAATTGAGCAAATTAGGGAAGGGCACTTTTTTTGCCAAGTCTCTTGAGTAACCCTTTTTTTTTCTCGTGTGCCTTGCTCGCCTAGCCGAGGGGGAGGCGACGCCTTTTCCTTCAACCTGTTTTAGAGAACGGTGGGAGAATGGGGAGAGAACGGAAATCAGTGTAACAGTTACAAAAGGAGTTGCCTGCGAAGGAGGCTATGCAAGCACTTGTCTGGTCGACTCTCTTTACAATTTTCTCTACTTCTCATTCTGGGAGGAAGGAATGATGCTGCAATTAAAGCTGTGCGTGTGTAGGAGTTTATCAAATGAAACTCCCATTTTCAAAAATTTGTTTTATTAAAGAGGCGGCACACGTTCAAATTATTTATCCCCTTAAATTCATGACAAAAACCAAATTAAGTTTTGTTTCGTTAATGAATATTCAGCGTTTTTACGGGTGTAAACTCCGGGGAACCTTCTCTTTTTAATCTGCATATTTTATTACGTATCTTACGGAAAAATCAATACAACAAGTGGACGAAATATAAAGAAAAAATTGATTGGTTTTCAGCTAACACAAGCTGTATAAATGAATCGTAAGGCAGGTGTTGACTTCTTGACTTGGTATAGACGTTTCCGTAGGGCCTTGTGTTATAAAATTTATTTGGCTATTGTTTCAATGCGCTTAATACTGTAAATCTAGTATTAATACCTTTTCTCTCGGAATGACAGCTCCACAGTTTTGAGAACAGTTCAATGGGAATTTCTTACAATCGGCATGATGGGCCTAGAAAATAAAATCATTGAAATTACCGCGAAACCCAAGTTAAGAGGTCACCGCTGGTAGAGCTGGTAAAGCCAACTGACCGCTTACTAAACTAAATGCAGGTGAAGACAATGAAAATAACGCTATATGGAAGGTTGGTAAGTGACCCATCAATGCAGGTTACCGTTTATTGCAGTTGACGCTGTTGCTGTTCCTGCATGCTGGCTTGGTTTTGAAACAGCAGAATTCACCTAAATTCATAGTTTTATTACCGATGCCAACGGTATGTTATATGATAGACTCCTCTACAATTAATTAAGATTCTTACCTTAGTTTTACACTCCGGATGTGATTCACTGCAGTGAGTGCAACTAAGAATCCTCCATGCACACGTGGTGGTCATGTGTTTCTGTAGCTTGTTCCTTGTCATAGTCTCAGAGCAGTTTTTGTTCGTGCAGGCCACAATTTTACGGGGACATGACGTTAAGTGGTCCTTTTTTGGAAAAGAAAATTATCGTTTGGTGTTCATGTGTTGACAGTTTAGTTCCCGGACACGGCAGGAAACTATCATGTCTATCATCATGCCCAAGTAAGTTGTTTGTTGTTAGCTATTGTAACCAATTATATTTAAATACCATTAACTTACCCTATTGACTATGCTATTCTATGTTACACTCTCCCGGACTCAGTCATATTCAACCTACTTATTTGTAACGGGGGACGTGCTCCGACAGTGTGAAGTGGGAGTGATGAGAACTCGCAGAAGGACAAAGACAAATAATTCAGAAGTAATAGACTTACACCTTCCTTACATGTGTTTCGTACTAGCTTTATCTCTTACTATTTCACTCTTTCCTTCTCTTTTCTTCTCTTCTTCTCTTTGTCTTGCTTAGTTTCACTGACTTCTCTTTCTCCGACTCTCTCTCTCCGTTTTTCTTTCTCCGATTAATCACAGATTTTCTCTACCTTTATACTCTATCCCTTTTAGCTTATGTGATTATATAAGATTTGCTCATTAACATGCAATTAACTCTAAAGGTAAAAATCAATCATAAAACAAAACCAATGTCAAGTTGAGAACAAGATGTCCGAGCAATAAAGTGCTGATTTAGCTGATTCAAGAAAGATAAATTGTCAGCTTATAAAATATCAGCTGCCCATCTCCCATCACTAAAGTAAAAACTGGTTGATCAAAGGATGGTTTTTATCTTATCAGTTTGCATATTTAAGTCATTTGACAGTTTCTAGAACCTAACAAGTTTATGCACGAAAATGATGCATTTTCATCTCTAACATGTATATCATCTTGGTTGAAAGTATTCTTCTGCAGTTAAATACAACAACTGATAATACACAAGTCTTGAAGGCGTGACTTCTGCACATGTTACACTGTGACAGACCAACAATTCTATTCATTTTCTTACATGAAGTTTACCGGTAAATCACGGTGGTAGAAACAACATGGAGTTGCGCCACTTACAGTTTTTGACCTCAATTCACCAGTCCACTGGCAACCGTTGCTAGGACATTTGATGATGAAGGAAAGTATCTTTCTTTTTGTTGCCTTGTCAGCGAAAATGTCCTAAAAAGTAAAGAGTTAAATTAACCTTTGTCCATTTATTTGTTTGTTTACTCACATAAATATACTACGTGCTTGGTTTTTTAACCCATTCACCCTCTGGGAGATTTTGTGTAGTCAAGCAAATTTTATGGTCGACATCCGACCAAGGAGGAACGAAGCTACCAAAAACCTCATCTACAAATCGAGCACTGCACTTCTAACACTTGCTCCTGACCCCAAATAACAGGATTCCCACTCTTCTCTTTCCTCTTTATACATATGCTAGGTTTAATTTCAAAGGGAAAGGCTTTTGCGGCACCCCGACGATGGAAGGTAGTTGGAAGGTTGTTCATTGGGATATTCCAGTCAGAGTTACATTGGACTGATTCTTTGCATATATATACATATTTTTTGGCCTTTTTCACTGAATAACATACATTTGGGTGTGGTTTGAAAGATCTCTTATTTAGCAATTAATGAATGAGGCTGAGTAGGGTATGAAGAATTGAGCAGATCGAGGAGGTTGTTATCCACCGAGGCCGAAGGTCGAGTTGGATAAAAATAATTCCTAAAACATGCTTACCTGCATCGATGTTAAGTTCATCTTCGATAGTGTACGTTTAGGTTTGTTCAGCTCCGCAAATATTCTCCAAATAGCAGATGTCGCCCTCCGAGTTGTCTTTTTGCTGTTTTTGCCATGTTTTTAGCTATTATTTCGCCTAGTTCCAGCTGTAGTTCTTACTCTTGAAACGAGTGAAAACAATTCAACCTCGTCCTCAGGCGTTCTCTGTTAACGGTGCGTTAACCTGTAGAGGACTGCATTTTTGACGTCATTTCCTCGTTAAACACAAAATTCTTCCAAATTTGGTCATCAGTAACTAGTTATGGTGAATAATGCGTGTGCTTTTAGCCAATCAGAATTGGGGAAATATTTGAATGAATAATAATTTAATTTAAGGGTGCGTTTCTTTATCAGATATAAATTAAACATTCATTAAACATTAAACATTCATTTCTTTTGTTTTTTCTTTGTGAATTATTAATGAGTTTTGAAGGCTAAATGAAGCGGCCTTTACATTGTTCACCAATAAATAAAGATGACTATTGCGACGAGGTTAAGTGGGACGAGTCACCATTAATGGAAAGGGAGAAGGGAATAACATAATATATAGATTTAGCCAGGGCTAAAAGCGAAGCTCCCATTAATAAATTTGTAATTTCAATCAAACAATAAACTTGTATTCCGCAAATCAGTTCACTTTAGAGCACATTCATGTGACTTTTGTTTTGAGGGATTAAAGCTAAGTGATTTGAGAGAACTTTGATAATTTGCTAACAGTCCAAGAGTGCACCAAACCTTACATCGAGTTGACGGCCTTTATATGTACACCCAAAAAATAGCAATCATCTTCGATCACATTTAACGTCCATAAAGGCTCTTGATCACAGTAGATTAGGCCTGGAAAACAAATGCTTGGAAAGGAAATCCGGCAGAATTTTTTCCGTTTGACAAGTTTGCTTTACAAAATCTTGCTAACAAATCTGGGGGCGTGTTAACCAACCTTTTATACTTTTTGTACATCACATCTGACAGTCTGAGGTGAAACAGTACTACGAGGCGCTGTTTTTATCATACAGACCTCAGACAGAATGCAGTATTTCATAGTTTTGAAATATAAATTGCAATCATTCAATATTCAGGACGATCGAAGCACGCGTGGGCTTTTAGCGAAACCGCTAAAAAAAGTTCCAAAATCACCTATATAACGGCCGGCCAGTTGCAAGCTGTGGAGTGTTTGAATGAACATTAAGAGAGTTACACTTCAACATAATAAAGAATTTATTGTGGGTTTTTTTTTTATTATTTAATGGTTTTATAAGGATTTGTAAACTTAACAAGCGTTTAATACGCGCGACGTTTTGAGTACTCCTGCAACTGAAAACATTAACGGCAAATTGCAAGAGAGACTACTAACAATCAATAAAAGAAATATAATTCGGTGAAATATTTACAGAGACAACAATTTTCATTCACGAAGACAATTAAGTATCAAAGTGTCTCTAAGAATCCTGAGTCTTTATGCTTAAGGTGGCTCCCTAGAGTATTTACTAATAATCCGAGCTATCAAGCATACGTTACAGAAGGAAATCTAGTTACTTTGTCGTTGCGATTTTGTTCACGAGATTCACCGCTAAGGTTACCCATATAAGAAGGCTCCTTTATCAAGTTTCATTTTCTGGATTAAGGCCGTTGCCATGGAAACATCGCATCCTTAACCAGGCAGTAATTTTGTCATTTTTGCCCATTTCCCTTAATATTTCTAATTTCCCGAAATGTCTTTAAACTTTGCCACTCTATATTAACGATATTGCTTAACATTTTAAAAAGGAAAAAACATGGGGTCGTTAAGACGGTTTTGCCAATATTTTGAAATTTGTAATTTTTCTTAATAGGGGAATTTAGCTCTTACAGTTTTTGACAAAAAAATGACAGCACAAAGGTACTGCGACTGTTAAGAAATGAGGCGATTTTTAAAAAAATTTACCGAAGGAAACGCGAGAAATTCACGGTTAATTATATAATTAAGTGCGCTGACGTCACAAAAATCCGAAAAACACGCGTGGTTCGAGGTCGTGTGAGCAAAATACGCGCGCGAGCCATCACGCCCGCATGCGCATAATGCACAAAGCTACTGAAAACATGTGGTTTCTTTGAAGAGTACGAAAGCCATTCTTTTGAAGCCGTTTATTAGTATTATTACGGTGAGTCTCGCCAGTTGAAAAAGGAGAGATAGCGGATTCAATTTTATACCTAACACAGGATGTTTTCCTCGCAGTACTTGACTTTTGTAGTTAAAATTCGAACCGTGTTGGTAACTCGTTAGGATGGCGATCGTCGGAGATGAAGACGGTGGTTGTGCAAGGATCGCAATAAGCCCTTCATTTCCTAATCTGCTGTACACTGTTTGCAGATCTTCAAATGTCAGCCCACTTCCGGATACTTTTTCGACCTTGTTCTTCTTTAGGGATAATTTCAACGGCGAAGTTTTTCTTTAAAAGTCTGCTGTAGAAGATGGCGCCGATCTTTAAATCATGTCCTCAGCTACACGTACAAGACCGTAGGTCTCGACGGGCAACTATTGCTTTCGTCAAGGGTCAATCTGTGAGTAAAAATTATTTCTCGTTGTGCAAAAACATTTTCTAGTGCATCTTGCATGTGCGTTGAAGGACGTTTGAAACAAGAAAAAATACAAGGATGTTGGTTCGTCGATGGAAAGGTTCCTTCGATTAGGATGCAAGTTAAGTGGGAAACCTTTTTTCTGATAAGTTTTTTAAACAATGTGATAGAGTCGGCAAAACAAAAAAAAAATTTACACTCCCTGTTATCTTGTCTTAAAGCCACGTCTAGAATTACTTAAATCAAATCAAATGTAAGAGAAATAAAGTGACCAAGGAGCTCCGCCAGTGACGACAATCGTCAGTGTTTGTTCGGGAATTGGCTCGATCTTTCAGATCTTTCCGCTGACCGTGAACCAAAGGCCAGAAACAGCAACATTGCTTCCTTCTGGGTTAGTGCACTTACTTCTTTGTTTTCTAAGTAAAGTTTCCACTCACCATTTACTTCGACCATTTAACGCTTGTCTACTTTTGAAGCGAAGGAATTAATGTCTTTGGAAAATTTCTCCTTTGTTTTGACATACAATTTACTTTTATGGAGATCGATAGTGAATTGTAACCGGTGTAACATTGTCTGCTCTCATAAATGTTTGACCTACACTAATCAAACTTTTTGCACAATGAGCTTCAACAGAAAGTTAATAAAGTTTTTTGGGTGGAATATTTCGAACCTGAGAGGCCATGTTTGTTTTAATTTTTGCGTGGACGTCGCGCGGATTCTAAAGCTCGCGCCATACTAGTGCTCAGGCTTGCGCACGGCCAATTTACTCTAGGGAGCCACCTTAAAGCCAAAGTTTATGTTTTAAAGCCGGCTTCCCGGTGTTTGCTGTTTTCAAATATGAACTCGAGGCGAGAAAATTGCGCAAAGCTTTCTTTCTACAGTTAAAATAAAAACGCAACCTTTTTTTGTTTCTATTTGCGGTGAGAAAATATCGACTAAAGACTTTTTAAAGTTCTGCAAGCTTAAATCAAACCTCATACTATAGGTCAGATCATTATCTCAAATCTTAATTCAAACATGCATAAACTATAGCCTCATAAACTGCGCTCGGCTTCATGAAATTAGATATATGAAAAAAAAACAAACACAAATACAATAATTACTCAGGCAGCTCCTGGAAGCTACATCGCTTCAGACTTTTCAATCAAGCAAGGTGAAAAACGAAAACGAGTCGATGCTATCCGAAATCGGATTTCCGACTTTGACAGGCGACGTATTTCTCAACCAAAAACCCAATAGACAAACTAGCCATGAATAACAGAAGACTCTTGATAGTAGCTGAATTTCATTTCGTACATCCAGTAGAAAAAGACAGTTAAAAACATCTCAAGTTGACACAAAACTCTGTCAGCTTCAGCTGTCAAAGTAAACAAGTTTCAAGATGCTGCATAAATTTTCCGCATAAACTCACCTGTCAAATTTTGCCAATCAGAGCATAAAAATTGGACGTAGAGCGTGACCAACGCGTTCACGGACGACTGAAAACAACAACGGGCAAAGCGATCATTTAAGAACGAGATCTTGACAAACAATCAAGACAAGAAATATAATACGAAGAAACATTTAAAGGTCAACAATTTTTATTCCCGAAGACGTGTTTTGAGAGTAAAGCTGAGTCACGAATAGATTTAAATTAAGCCTTAAAGGTCAAATGAACCAAAAAATTGACATATTTTCTTTTGTCGCTTTACCTTCACCAAACACTAAAAAGAACCATCCTAAGTGAGATTTGGGTAAAGATTTTTCGTCCCAAGCCTTTATAGAAAGATAAAAGATCAAAATCCGAGCATTTCCGAAGACTTCACGAAAACGTTTCTGAAATGGCCGCGTGATAGACTGGAGACTATGACGTCAATGTTGGTCTTTCAGGGCGGAAAAACGTTCTGCGCAAGCTTCTGCGAATCCCTTATCGCTTGCGTTTGTTTGTCTCGTTCTGTGAGAGTTCTGACTGAGACTGAATGAAATGCACGAGGAGCGAACGTTTGCTCCTTGTAAAGGCTTTTTTTGTTGTTTTTTTTTTGTTGTTGTTTTTTTTCTTCACTTGAAAATTACTTTGGATTCAGAACAATCAATGTTAGAGTAAAAACAGATCATTCCTCCAGTCTGAGGTGGAATAAAACGTTTTGAACATTTCCAAACAGGTTTGTATTTTCCTGATAATTGTGCATTCGATTTGTGAGTTGATTTTGTGTCCATTGCTTCGCCTTCTTTCGCCGGGTTGAATTAAAACCTGCTTGTATTGTTATTAGTTGTTATGGTTACTTTTTTTATATATGTCCAGATTTATTTACCTTTGCAGAACCAGCTTTATCCTTGTCTTCAGTCAAATAACCGTAACGGCTAACGCATGCGAGTGAACAACCTTGTGCGCTTTTAAGCTTTTAAAACTTAAAAGTTTTAAAAACTTTCTCGGAACTTTAGAAGGCCAGCAAGCTTACTCGAGAAGAAAAGACTACTTCGATCATTTTCTGTTTGCTCCAGTGATAATAGTCGGAGTTTTTTTCCTTTAGTTTTTTCAGTTTTAATTACGTAGTTTTTATATCTCTCTGTACGCAAATTCTCCTTTCACTCGCTGTCATTTAGCGGCTCGGAGAACGACAACTGCCGACGGTGACTCCAACACAATCGACTCTTTGCCCGTAAACAATTGCTGGAGCTGCATTTGACTGAAGCGAGCAAAACAAATCCTTATGTGCAGTTTTCTGTATTTTCTAATAATTCAGTTTGCTGAGTTTAATTTGCTTGAATGAAGACCCTCGCATGGACCAGTTATTAAAAGTAGCTAAGTAGTCAGAATCATGGCTTGGCTGCGAAGCTTGCAACTGATCTTTTGCTTTTAAGAGCTTTAGGTAGGTTGTTTCCGTACAGAAAAATTCACTTCTTCTTTGTCAGCAGGTATAAGAGCCTTAAGCCTTATGTTTTTTTAATGAAAATTTGTTGTTTTGCAACTTTATTGAAGCTTTTTTAGTTCACTTAGCTGAATTTTATGGATGATGGAATTGTTCTTTGCTTGTCGCATCTCTTTGCCAGCTTGGCCAGTGGCGTCTATGGTCCTTAAAGTGACCTCAATCGGTAATTAAATCTTATACATAATTGGAAAGAAGTTTTTGCTATAATGTAACTTTAACTTTGTTTGAAGGAAATCTTACTTACGCGTAGGTTTTTAACAGGGGTTATGCATGTTCAACTTGACAACACAAAGCAAAATTAATCTGCGCGAAACGATCAAGTTTAAAAAACTATGGTTGCTTTGAAACCGATCTTAGGGAAGATTCACTAGATACTGATTAACTCTTTTTCTGCCCACATATCAACGCCAAAACTTCTACATTGAGGATTTTGTTTATATTTTAGTGATCTGCGAAGCTAGAAGTGTCCGATCGAGCGTAGGTTTTAAAATATCAGCTCGAGTGCGACAAAGTTCAGTGACTTCAAACACATTGTGGGCAAACTTGAATTTCTTTCGGCAGATTATTATACAAAGATATTTTGTTTTTGTGTCCACGGTGGAGCTCCGGAAATTATATATCCAGGAACCTTCTTATATGAACACACTTTGTGAATGCATCTTGAAAAAAATCGGACTTACGCACGCACATTTTCCAGTACAACTCTAGGAAATTAGTATATGTCGTTAAAGTCCGTTTTACTATGATGTATTCTTCGAGAAAATTAATTAATAAGAATGTTACCACAGCTTGCAACGTTTGAAGACAAATTGCTTGTTCTTTCTAGGTTTATGGCCGCACAAACCACTTCTGCGCCAAGTCGACTCGCAAAAACTCTGTTTTGAATTTCCCGCTTTTTTTCGCCTGACCAACATTGACGTCACAAGCTGTTTTTTCCGACAATTTTTCCGACCGCTCTATGAAGATTAGGGCCAAAAAATAGCAATTTTTAATTGCGAATATCTCGGGAATACTTGCTTCAATTGAGCTGAAACTTCATAGTATGTGTATTTGGTTCATATTAAACACAATTCACTAGAATTGAACTAAAATAAAAAAGGTCGTAATTTTGGTTCATTTGACCTTTAAGTTTTAAGCCGCCTTCGCAGTGTTTGCTATTTTGCAAGATGAACTCCAGGCAAGAATATCGCTCAAAGTTTTCTTTTTACAAACAATAGGATAACTAAACTATTTTTCAGAACTTTTTCTTCTAGTCGCGGTCAGAAAATGTCTGAAGACTTTTTAAGTTCTTTACTAGGTCAGTTAAACTGATTCAAACCTTACAAATTTGCGTAAAATGACGGCATAAACATGAAAAAAGAAAACACATAAAATGCAATAAAATTACTCAAGCTTACCGGTCGAGATGCAGCACGGAAACCCATCAAGTAAGGCCAGAATCGCTTAAGATTTTTCGCATGGTCCAGCAAGGCGAAGTAAGCTTACTAAGAGTAGCTTATTTTTGAAAACGATGATTCCCGATTTCTTTTTGTCGTGCGGCGCATTTCTCAACCACAACCCAGTAAAGAAGCCAGCCAAGAATAACAAAAGAATGTTGATAGCTGCTGTATTTCATTTGGTAGATCCAGTGCAAAAAGACAGGTAAAAACATCACAAGATGACTCAAAACTCTGTCAGCTTCAGCTATCAGTGAACAAGTCGCAGATGCTGCATAAATTTTCCACTTGAATCCTCTTCGCTAGCGCGCCTGTTAATTCTTACTCTATGCCTTTCTCTTCTTCTCTTTCCCGTCGCTTTTCACTTACAAGCAAATAGTTTGAATCCAATCCGCTATTGTTTGTTGCCATAACAATTTCTTCGAAACAGTTTACTAGAAACTGAGCTCTCCGGACACAAAATCCTTATGCAATGAGGTAGTTCGGTTGAAGTAAACATGTTTTCGAACGCGACGACAGCAACGTCATTTCTTGCGCGATTTCCCGCCAAGAAACAGGTGGGTTGCACAAATGCATCGCGCGATTTATAACATGCTCCTCCCCCGGACGGGCTAACACCTGATTCCCTTCCCTCCCCCGCAAAGAGTGTGCGGGCGTACGCTACGTCATAACCAAATTTTCTCGGATGGATTGTTTACCAAATTTTATTACCCATGGTGCTCCGCTGGCGCGCTTCGCGCGCCGGAGCTCCGCTAATATATAGATTTAGCCAGGGCTAAAAGCGAAGCTCTGGTTCAGTAATACTTATAAACCACAAAAATTAAATCGTGTAATGTTAAACGGAGACGACAATGAAAATGGCTTCAAGACCAATAGATCTAATAGACCTTTTTACCGATACGGCGGCCATATTGAATTAATTCGATTTAAGGAGCATTATAGGATGCCCAGGAGGCATGAGCACATTTCGTTTGTATTTTCGAGCGCTTATCGGGACATTTTTTCTTAAAGTTTTCTTAGAATAAGATTGTAACGAGAGGGAAGATCTTTGTGCCGTGTTTGGATGTAATAATGATCTTCCTTTTCTAGTTTAGTATTAGAAATATGGTCTTTCACTGTATATTTCTCGGGAAAAAGGCGATCATTATTACATCCAAACAAGGCACAGGGATCTTTTTTCCCATTACAATCTTATTCTAGGGTGCAAAGAAAGTCAATTCATCTACTAGCCCTAAAGTCATTTTTACTAGCGCGAAAAATTTTTTTCGCGACCAGAATGAAAAAAATATATTAATTAATTATTCCTTTCTTAATTACACTGTAAGTTAATAAATTACTGCTTCATTTCTTCATTACAATCAGCTGTAGTTATTTAACAAAAGCAATAAATAACCGTAAAAGTGTGCACTAGTACAATAATTCGGTGTTAAACTTTTGATTATAAATGCCTTTGTCTTGAATGATGAAATAAGGAATTTAAGTGAAACTAACGGAATGAAGGTCCAAATAACAAATAACACAATGCTAAAAACTACATATTATTGGTTAACCTCTCGTGAAAATGTCCAAATACTCAATCTTCTGTAACGCTTTGAGTTCAACGCAATATTCACTCCCGATGTCTTCAACTTGTTTGATCTAGTTTTGCTGTTTTGCTCTCGGCGCTGCCACACTGTAGAATTTTTTGTAAGTCCACCACAACACGTGAATGATTAACATGCATTTTAGACATTTTACAATTTAGAAAAACATTTTTTAAGAAAAAAACGGTGTTGAAACCGTGAAACCAAAGTTCTCAATGAACACACTAAACGACAACGTAGACAACACGAAAAGCTGCCAGAAAAGCACTTCATTCTGCAATTTGCCGCGCAATTTCCCGCGAGAGTATTTCTTAGCCGCTGACAGGAGAGATGTTTATATTATTAAAGGCATAAAAATTTGATAGCTTTCATCAGTTTGTTTCTCATTCAAAAGTAGTGAATTCAGAAGATCATTTTTCTGAAGAAGGTTTGTTTGGGAGTCGGTTTTCCGAGTCAAGTTTCAAGTTCACGGGAAAGTGGAAAATGCGAGTGCCAAGTCACGCATCAGTGAGCAAATATCATGGGAACAAAAATTACGCAAATTCGTGGTTCATCTTGTTACAAGTAACCAAAGATTTTAGGTTTCAAAAGAACAAAAATGTTCGTCTTATTTCTGGCAACTTTTCATCTAAAAGATTTTCATGAAAAGTGAAAACAATACGAGGTGGCCAGGAGTTCAGGATCAAAACCTTTTAGGCTCCTTACAAATGATTATGAAGCAACATTTAGACAAACAGCGTTCTCTGAATCAGTAAGAATTAGTCACGGGCAACATTAACGTCCAAAGTTTTTTCAATATCTGCTTTTCCTTTAAGCGCCGGATCTCAATATGTCTCGTCTGACATGTAATGCGATACTTCGTCTTGTTTATGCAGATCTCACTTCGTCGGAGCGACTTTCGACTTTATTAGGAATTTAACACATTTTTTGTTTTGCAGTACTTCTGAAATTTTACTTCTCCGAAAAATCTTCACTTGCCCGTCGGGCAAGTTAAGCACAGAGTTCGCTAGCCCGATAGCAAAATCCACTAGCCCCAGGATGTCGGACACGACTTTCTTTGCACGCTGTATTCTAAGAAAACTTTAAGAAAAAATGTCCCGAAAAGCGCTTAAAAATACAAACGAAATGTGCTCATGCCCCCTGGGCATCCTATAATACTCCTTAAATCGAATTAATTCAATATGGCCGCCGTATCGGTAAAAAGGTCTATTTAGCAAAAAAAAACAAATTGCACGTGCAGCACACCTTTTCTTCTGATTAGCAAAAAGCAAATTTGCACGTGCAGCACGCTTTTTTGTCTTTCCCTTGCCGTTGTTTAGCACACCGACAACGCTGTTTTGTATGACTAAGACGTCAAACTTCCTAGTTACACATTATTTTTATGGAGCAATTGTCGAATGTGTTTACCCAATATTTTGTTTCCTGTGTTCATGTTCGCTTTTAGTTTTCACCGCCGCTCATTTTAACCTTGCTGGCCGCTAGCATTTCTCATTTTCTCACCGCTGCTTTGAATTTCCATGTTTTTCTCACTACGAAATTCGTCTCCTTTGTTTTCAATAACTCGCTCTAGCTCTTTCTTTGTTATCCACGTTAGTGTAAACATAAAAGATAACCGCCGAAAAAGACACGACTTTGTTGTTTTTTCTTTCTAAAAGTCCGGGCGGCCATGTGATTTCGTTCAAAATAAAACCTTGAGTTGCATTTGGGTTGCCATACCTGTTGATTGAGTTATTTTACATTGGTATGCCTGTGGTGCGGACGGACGGTCACTCGCTCGGTGTACGGTCACGTGTCTACCATATTTTCTCGGATGGATAGATTACCACATTTCCTTAGCTATGAGGCTCCACCCACGCGCGGAGCTTCGCGCCGCCCGTGGAGCTGCGCTATAATCGTTGTTTAAAAGGCTAAAAGCAGCCTAGCAAATTATACCGACAAGGAAAGAACTATACATGAAATCCAGACTCTAAACAGATTCTAAGCAGATAATATAATGGATGAATGGAATGGTGTTAGAATTGGCTAATTAATTATTAATTTTAGTATAAGTCAGTGAGTAGAAAAGACTAAAGGAGTAAGCAGGCTCAGCAGCCGCTCCTGGCCAGCTTCAATCGACCGGCAGTGTAAGAGATCACTTACCGCATCTCGTATTAGGATGTTCCGGTCCACAGGACAATTTAACAGTTCTCCGTTGAGCTCCAACCTATAGAAATGAGAAGGAGAGAATAGACGGTACAGTGAAAACAAGCATGAAACGTTGCAGGGCTGCAGTAAGACTTCAGAAAGGGACGTTATCCATGGTTTACGGGCTAAACTTCGATTGAGAGAGAAGTAGACTGGCTTCACTGCTGGCTGTATTATGAATTTAAACTGTACGTTTGTACCAGAACAAGGACATGATTATGTACAGTGGAACTTCGATGTATAACGAAGGCGAGGGTCTGGAAAAATTCGTTGCTTTAACGAGGTTTCGTTTTATGGAGGTTCTTTTCCATATATTTTACTATTACTGGGGCAAAAAGTATCGTTTTCGTTATACCGAGGACTACGCTATATAGAGGTTCGTTATATCGAGGTTCCACTGTAAAATCATTGCACTCCATTTCAACTCATTATCAGCCGATAGTAGTCAAACTTTCTTCAATTTTACAAATCGTGACAACAGAGTCAAAAGTTCGTTTTTAGGCTTTCTTTCCTCAGAAGACTCTCTGAAGTATACACCGTGCATGTCTACCGTGGGTAACGCGAAAACCAATTGCGTCGGACTAAGTGAAAACACAAATGCCAACAAGTTCAGGACTCGTGCTTTGTAAAAACGCCTTGAGTAGCAACTAAAAAAGAAAACAACCTGTTATGTCTCAGTTGACCACCAGTTAGCAACCTAGCCAACAATCAGTATAATTCAAAAGAAGGTTTAGTTTGATCGTCCAGGTGAACGTTGTCCTGAATAGGATTGTTGTTGTTGACAGTGACTGACGTTTCGACAACCTGTGCGGTAGTCATCTTCAGAGTCAAAGTGAGTTGTATCACGTCAGTTGATGCGGGGGATTATACTCTGTTTATAGATTACTCTGGTTATTGATCTGATTGGTCAATTACGTCGCGATGTTATTGGTCGTCTGTAAGTTAAGCCGTGATGTTCTTGGCTATGAAGACTCGTAATCAGTAATTGGTGCTTTTCGATCCGTCTATTGTCACAGTTAAACAGTCGTCTATTGTTAGTCAAATTGTCAGTTCTCCAGTCGTTCTCTCGTAGTTAGTTTTGCTTGATCTCGTCAATAAGTCGTTTGTACGGTGCTGGTAACTGTTGGCTACGATTCAGTGGCGTTTTTTCTAAGTTAGTAAACCAGCTTTCTAAAGTAAGACGTTGATAGTAGTCTGTAAAATACGTTATACATGTCGCAGAGACCCAGTCAATTTGATCGCAGCATTTGATCTTGTATACTGCTCCCTGTCTGTCCTCTGGTTTGTCTTTGTCCGTGGCATTAGTAAGCAGTCGCCGTGAAGTGGTTATCGGTTCGTGTGCAACACGTACATCAGAGGCACCTCTGAAACTATTCCACGTATATTAGAGGCACCTCTGAAACTACTGCACGTATATTACAACCTTACAATATACATGTTGCACACAAACCGATAACCACTTTACGGCGACTGTTTACTAATGTCAAGGACAAAGACAAACCGGAGGACAGACAGGGAGCAGTATACAAGATCAAATGCTGCGACTGCCAGGCTTCTTACATTAACTGTGACAATAGACGGATCGAAACGCACAAATTACTGATTACGAGTCTTCATAGCCAATAACAACACGGCTTAACTGACAGACGACCAATAACATCGCGACGTAATTGACCAATCAGATCAATAACCAGAATATAATACCATCAACTGACGTGATACAACTCACTTTGATGACTACCGCACAGGTTGTCGAAACGTCAGTCACTGTCAACAACAACAGTCCTATTCAGGACTACGTTCACCCGGACGATCAAACTCAACCTACTATTGAAATGACTCCTGGGTTCAAACCTTTCACAATCAGCATAATTAACATGAAGCAGAACTCGCTCGATTCACCGCTGTCGATTCCGAGACTGATTGAGCCACCTTTGTTTTATAAACAAGAGCCTTGAACTAAAATCTTTGAAGTAAAAGGTTTTTTTTCCTTTTTATGCCATGTGATAAAACTTTGCAAAGCTCCCATGTTTGTTCGCTCAACATAAGAGAACTTAGCCAATTTGCAGTCGATGGAGTAGCTCGGATAATTAATGCAGGAATTAAGTTGTTCCTTCTTGGAGTGCATTGTATTTAATTGCGCTTTGTCAGCCTTAAAAAAGTTAAGAGAGACTATAATTTTAAGACCGATAGCAATGACGAGCGATTTCACTTAGCCCGGGCTAATAACCTCTCTTTCTAACAAATTCAAAGTCTCTGTCGACGTAATTATATTAGATCCACGTAGCTCGCAACTTCGGCATTGCATCGCTACGTCATGCTTCCGGAAGCATGAACAGTCTCTCGAAGCCAGTAAATAATAACCTCTAGCTAGACTAACTATCTGATGACACAGACATGATAATACAACTCAGACAATTTTTAGAACCACCAACCTCCTAAAGTGTTCATCAAGGCACTGCCTACAAAATCTATGCCCACATATTCCCGTCTGCACGGCCTCTTTCAGTGGCAGACGACAGATTGAACAGTGCAGATCTTCGTCGACTGGATTTACAAACTCATCATCGTATCCACTAGGTAATGCAACTTCTCGAGCTTCAGCCATATTCTACAGGAGAAAGCTATCTTCCAGATACAAGCTCTAGCTATTCGGTAGGGAAAGGATATTCAGTGGACTGTGAACTGCGCGACACAGTGGGTGGGATCTCTAATGCATAGCACGCATATTTTTGACTGCCAATCAGACTTATGCCATGCATAACAACTGCCTAACATAGACTAGCATACATTATTGTGCAGGAACCCACGAGGCTAGGGCCTTCAGTAGTGTCCGCTTAATACAGATACAGGTATAGCTCTCTGGACACAGGTTTTTTCTATAAAAAGTATAAGAAGAAAAGTTCGAATCTTATTGAGCCTCATGTCCACCAAATACTGACTTCTATTTTCAAACTTTCTTAACATAAGTTTTAAAATAAGCATCCCAGTTGTGAAATCGACAGCAGGAAAAATGAAATAAAGATAAAAAAACTTATTTCAAACGTCGTACTAATACCACCTTGCTAAGATGGTAGATCTTTCAGGCGGACATCGTGCTACCAAAGGCCTAACCCTAGACCACAAGCGTCCCCGTCTGCGTCACTTTCAAATGGGAGTCCACTGCTTTGTTCTCGGTGCTAAGCTCATGTTTCAAAATGGCGTCTGACAGGGCGAAATGGAGTAACGATGTACACAGTCACATATCGGGTACTCAAAGTGTGAACACAGCACCATTTTCTGCCGGTAGCCAGGTACCAGTTCCCGAGCACCAAGTGTGGACAGCCCTTTAGATTAAGGGCGCATTCCAAACGTCAGAACTAACCGACCGAACGGGTCATTTCAAAAATGAAATAGGCTTTTTTAAGAGTTATTCTCTATTGGCTTTTTTAAAATTTGAACTCATGTAAATTATTTAAGAATTTACTGATCTGGCTGGAAAATTTTGAATACCAAATGGTGTGGCCGGCCGGTTGTGATAAATGCGTTTATGAAAAAAAGGGGAAAGGGAAGGTAAAAAAAATGTTTTTCTCGTCTTCACTATCCAGTGGATAAGTAAGTATTAGACTCGTATTAGAGAACTGAAACCAATTTTTTATACGAGGTTCAACAAAAGAGAAAAGTACAAACGCTGGTTAAATTTTTGTGAAATGTTATAGAGACGAAAAGCGTTACCTCACATTGTCATGGTAACATAACCTGGATCTCAACAAACCGTGGTCCTGCAAATATGGCAGAAAAAAAACAAACAAAAATATACATGCATGACTTTTTAGTACATGATTGCACCGAACTAAAACGATAGCCCACACTTTTAATTCACCGTTCGACATTGAAGATCGACGTTTTTGACCTACGCACGCCAACCGGAAGTGGACTTTTTGCACTCTTCGGCCGTGATTTTGAACAAATTCTTGGGCAAGTCGTCTCTTTAGAGTAAAGACACTTGGCAGTACAAATGCCTATTCGTAGAGGACAAGGCTCATTTCCGGTTGACTTGCTCAAAAACGTCGCTGCTTTTACTGCGCTTTTCAAAAACACGCGAACTCTGAAGTTCAAAGGCCAACACACGTTTGCGTATTTCGCTGCCGTCAATCATCTTAATGGACCTCTTAGGTTACAGTGATCTGTGATTGGTGGATTTCGATTAGCCTGTGTACAGACTCCCCTCCCATCAGGAAAAATCTGAGAAGGGATCCCTTCTCCGACTTTTCCTGAGGGGAGGGGGTCTGTACACAGGATAGATTTCGATCCGTTTTGTGTGTTTCCGTGTTTCATCGTTCGTTTTTGAACTTTAGAGTTCGCGTGTTTTGACAGGGAACGTCACATCCGAAATCGCCGAGGGCGACTGGGAACGAGGCTGCGCGTGTTTCTGAAAAGCGCAGCAAACTCCCCCCAGAAATTTTGCTACCATGGTAACGTGGCCACACACTTTTTCTTTCTGAACAGCGCAGTAAATCCCCCCAGGAACGCTACTGTTTTCCTCAAATTTGCACCAGTAGATGTCCAATAATTTTTCCCGACCGGAAATTTTCCAACCTCTCCCCACCCTGCTTCTTTAATTTCGCGGACTTTTTCTTCATTCCCAGGGTTTCGCGCCGTACATATCAGCAGCTTCCCACGTGGTTCCGTTCAGTTCTTGCCCTGCTCCTCAGAGCGCGGCGAACGAAGTGAGAGTGAATAACTATACGCTTCATTGGCATGGCTGGTTATCAGGAAAACTTTGTAAGTGTTGTCGATGAGGATTTCCAATGTTGTATTTGTAATTTTCCTCTGCGAGAACTCTTACAAACGAGATGCGGACACCGATTCTGTCGCGAGTGCCTCGAAGATGCATCAACAAGGTTTGAAAATTAATTTAAGCTTATTTCGTATTTAACATTCGAGTCTGAATATCAAGCTCTTTGGTTTCTTTCATTTCTTGAATGTGTATTTCTTCAGTGTTTCTTGGTACTAAAAATTCAAAACGGAGAGAGTGAAATATATTTTCATATTAAAATTAATGCGAGATATTTTTCACTTTTCAAAGCGGGTGTCACTCGGGTGTCTGTGAACTTTGTCTGGGTACCGGGTGGGGTGAGCAGGAGCTTTATAGCGTCCATACACTCACATACTAGTATATTTTTTAATACGCCCGTGCGTACACATGTACTTCTAAACTATGAATTTTTTTTTTTATTTTTGGAAAAATAATTTTTTATCATTAAATCTACCCTGGGTGCCAGAGGCTTTTCATGCGCGGTTTCCGGTTTCGGTCAAGTCTTACATTTCTCGCACTACATTGTTAGTATTAGTATTTCCTTTATCCGTTTATTATTCCATAATTCTGACGGCGTCACTGGCCTCTTTTTCCCTGTAAACACTGTACCTTACTGACAACACTAGAGATGGGGAAAATAAACAACAAACTACTGCATTTTCCTGCATACTAATTTACTGAAAATGTCCTGAGGAAAAAAATATATGTATATACCATGTTTATTCGATTAACCGCCCTGGGCACTTATTAAATTTTTGGACCTTGAGGGTGGGTGCTTATTTGAGGTGGGCAGTTATTCGAGGCTGGGCGCTTATTAAATTTTCGGCATTTTCAGTAAGTGTAGTATGTCTATTTTGCAACAAAAAAATAAATGGTAATAACAAAATGCGAAGATGTAACAAAGGAAGGTTTCTGTAAAATACTCTTAAGGAAACTCCTTTGCGTAAGTCTCTTATTAGTAATTATTCAATTATTTTTGGGTGGGAGGAGGAACAGGGGTTGGGTGAGGGTGGGCGCTTAATTGAGTTTGAGTGGGAGGAGGAGAGGGGTGGGATGAAGTGGGCACTTATTCGAGGCTGGGTGCTTATTAACTTTATCTGCCTTTAGGTTGGGCGCTTATTTGAGGTGGGCGCTAATTCGAGGTTGGGTGCTTATTCGAATAAATAAGGTATTTTAGAAATTTTCTGGGGGAGCTTGCCCCCAGACCCCCCTAGGTTGGGCAACCTTTTGTTCTACGAGTTTTCTCCTCATGTGCATACCACTTTAAAATCTCTTGCTATGCCCCTGGTAAGGTACCACGCAATCGGCCCATTCTCCCCTCGTTTTTTCCCCCTGTTTTCCCGGTATACAATTTAACTCGCTAATCCCTACCATCCTACCGTCTTGCTCTACAATCTGAACACCTGGGACAGGCTACCCAAAGATCTCAAGAATGGTTTCTATAAAGGTGTAAGTAACAAACATCATGGGAATACAACTTTCTTTAGCACCCTAGCTTTTGCCCCTACTGAAAGGAATCATACGCTGTATCATTGTCTGATTTTCAGAGTGATAACAAATCACTTGGGTAATTGTCCGGACGCTGAAGATGCACAATATTTTCCTTGCCCTACAGTATGTTGCCCAGTATCCGGACACTTCAGTTTAAGATTGCAATAACTTTCCTTTGTTAATCGCAAGAGCTCTGACATTTGGCCCGGAGAAAATCTATCTAGTCCTTAATCTGATAGACGACAGTTTAACTTTTTCGCCTTTGTTTCCATCGCGAAATTAATATTTTTGCAGAGCTCTTCTGTTGCCCAGTATCCGGACAGCTGGCCCAGTATCCGGACACAACAATAACAACGTAATTGTACATAAATTTCGAAAGGCAAGCGACTTATAAGCTTCTCTTGCACTTGCAAAGTAGTCTGGCAATCGATTCCAAAAATATAACCTAGCATCGTGAAATAAAACATAACAAATGGCTGGGGTATGGTGGGGAACGCGAGCGGCTGTTTTAAAAATGGTGTGATTCTTACTTTCTTGTCTAGGAACTTTTTCATTGATTTAGGGAAGGCATCCGTGGACATGCCGAAGCGGCAGTTTGCAAGCTCAATTAGCCAATCTGCAAACTACTTTCTTTCCTCATTTTTTATTTAAAAAAAAAGCTTGGGGAGGGGACCTCAATCCGACGGTCAAAGGTCACTCTCCTATTTAGTCCGACCTGCAGTGTTGATTTCTTCATGCTCAGTCCCCACAATAAGCCTGCTTTTCTAGCACTAATTCCTCCTTCTTTCACATCTCTTAATCCCTTTGTGACATTTTTTAGACCGTTGCAACCCCATTCTAGCAGTCACAAGTGGGGAAAGTACGAGAATTCCAGGTTCAACTTAGACGCTGTCAGTTATATATAGAAAATGCAGTCACGCGAAACAAGCTGTGCACACGAAATCAAGTCGCCTGTGAATGAGTGAAGAAAATTTCCATACGGAGTTGAGTAGAATTACATTTTACGACTATATCATATATCCTAAGCTTTAATTATAGTTACTGATATGAAATAAATCTTAACCGGATAATGTACACAACTAATTCATCGATTCTGTACAGCAAAGAAAAAACTGTCCGGATACTGGGCACATGACAACAAAACTTAGTGAATGTTTCTGGCCTCCGTTATTCCAAACAAATCGAATTTCAAGAAAAATTAATAAACTTTCTGAAAACCTGACTTCCTTAAGAATCTTCACTTTAAAAATAAAACAGTTTCTTTGAAAATTTAACACATTACCCTTCCTTTTCTGAGCAGCACTAATTTTACTGCCCAGTAAACAGCGTAAATATTAGCCATGAAAAGTTTACTCACCTGAACAGAA